AAGACTCACAGTGTTCCTGGTGGCAGATGACTATTTCTCTGTTGGCAGCAGTTTCCATCTATCTTTACTCCTCTTCAAAATCGGATCGAGGTGCAGCACCATATTCACTGATAGCTAAAGCCGCCAGGAAAAATCAGGATACTGCACAGACCAACCTTCAGACTACTGTCAATGGTGATGACTGGTGCTGCATGCCACCAGCACAATCAGTTGGGGCAATGCTGATGTCAATCACGCAACTGACTGGTGATCAACTTCTAGCACGAAATTAATCTTGACTGATGCGCCTTCCAGCCTGTTAAGCCACAGCCAGAGATGTAGAAATCTTGGCGCAGTTTTAGCCTTCTAATTAAGTGAAGATATAGTACCGGGACGTGATCATAAATGTCTCCAAGTACTTGCCCGCACCACCCCCCATCTGCCTTTGCCTTTTGGCTCTCTGTCCCACGCCTAGACTACTCTTTACCTCTAGATGTTACCTGCATTTGTCATCCACCATCATTCACTGCCAGGTGCACACAAAAAAAAAAAAAAAAAAAAAAAACTCTTTCTAGTCCGTGATGTACCACCAAGGGTGGCAAAAAGAATGAATCACAGCAGAAGGGATTCCCCAGTCGTCCCCGACCTGGGTACTGACCTTCCGATGCTCAGTTTGTCTGCGCAGATCGGACGGGATGCGGAAGTTATTGAGCTCTATGGCCGTGACTGGAAGACAATCGTCTCGGTTAAGTCAGTACCTCCATCGTCCAAGATCTCACACACACTCTACAGGTTCTTTTTGACTGTTCTGACTGGGTCTCCAGCTGTCGCTGGGCTGTCTCGGTCGCGAAGCACGCTGAACACCCACTCAGTTTGCCGCTTCAGGGCACAATTCACTCTCATCCTCCACACGCACCCAGGCTCATCCTCCGCACATTCCGCAGTGTTTCTCGGCGATGAGTGTGGCTAGGCCGTGATCCAAGCTGCTATGGGGTTTTCCAAGCATACTCTACAACTTTCATCGAGCAAGGAAGTCAATCAGATAGACTTGTGAGGGAAATGTAGCCCGTGTGGCGTCAATCACGCTGGTGAAGGCAATGGGTCCAATCTCGACAACAAGAGCAGCTACGCCCTCAATTCAAAGTCGTGGAAGCTCGTGCATGCCCATTCTATCACATCTTTGTGGTAACGAAACAGTATCATACAAAGTAGACACCTCAAAAAAGGCAGCAAGCGCCGAGTCAGCACCAGAGCGTTGATCCAGTCTTCAGCTCCTCTCCGAGTCTCGCCTCCTCTCCTCTCTCGGCTGTCTTCAAAACTCCCGCAGCCTCCGCGCTCATCAGGTACCAGGCCCCGGATCTCATCGGCCAAGGTATGTTCTGAACAAGCCACCGCGAAGTAGTGCTTCTCCCGCGGGACTTCTCCGCAACCCATTGACTGCTTGGGTGCATGGACTTGCCACCGTAGAGGGCTCCCACCGCTGACATGTCAAGACTCACAGTGTTCCTGGTGGCAGATGACTATTTCTCTGTTGGCAGCAGTTTCCATCTATCTTTACTCCTCTTCAAAATCGGATCGAGGTGCAGCACCATATTCACTGATAGCTAAAGCCGCCAGGAAAAATCAGGATACTGCACAGACCAACCTTCAGACTACTGTCAATGGTGATGACTGGTGCTGCATGCCACCAGCACAATCAGTTGGGGCAATGCTGATGTCAATCACGCAACTGACTGGTGATCAACTTCTAGCACGAAATTAATCTTGACTGATGCGCCTTCCAGCCTGTTAAGCCACAGCCAGAGATGTAGAAATCTTGGCGCAGTTTTAGCCTTCTAATTAAGTGAAGATATAGTACCGGGACGTGATCATAAATGTCTCCAAGTACTTGCGCCCCGCACCACCCCCCCATCTGCCTTTGCCTTTTGGCTCTCTGTCCCACGCCTAGACTACTCTTTACCTCTAGATGTTACCTGCATTTGTCATCCACCATCATTCACTGCCAGGTGCACACAAAAAAAAAAAAAAAAAAAAAAACTCTTTCTAGTCCGTGATGTACCACCAAGGGTGGCAAAAGAATGAATCACAGCAGAAGGGATTCCCCAGTCGTCCCCGACCTGGTACTGACCTTCCGATGCTCAGTTTGTCTGCGCAGATCGGACGGGATGCGGAAGTTATTGAGCTCTATGGCCGTGACTGGAAGACAATCGTCTCGGTTAAGTCAGTACCTCCATCGTCCAAGATCTCACACACACTCTACAGGTTCTTTTTGACTGTTCTGACTGGGTCTCCAGCTGTCGCTGGGCTGTCTCGGTCGCGAAGCACGCTGAACACCCACTCAGTTTGCCGCTTCAGGGCACAATTCACTCTCATCCTCCACACGCACCCAGGCTCATCCTCCGCACATTCCGCAGTGTTTCTCGGCGATGAGTGTGGCTAGGCCGTGATCCAAGCTGCTATGGGGTTTTCCAAGCATACTCTACAACTTTCATCGAGCAAGGAAGTCAATCAGATAGACTTGTGAGGGAAATGTAGCCCGTGTGGCGTCAATCACGCTGGTGAAGGCAATGGGTCCAATCTCGACAACAAGAGCAGCTACGCCCTCAATTCAAAGTCGTGGAAGCTCGTGCATGCCCATTCTATCACATCTTTGTGGTAACGAAACAGTATCATACAAAGTAGACACCTCAAAAAAGGCAGCAAGCGCCGAGTCAGCACCAGAGCGCGTTGATCCAGTCTTCAGCTCCTCTCCGAGTCTCGCCTCTCCGCTCTCTCGGCTGTCTTCAAAACTCCCGCAGCCTCCGCGCTCATCAGGTACCAGGCCCCGGATCTCATCGGCCAAGGTATGTTCTGAACAAGCCACCGCGAAGTAGTGCTCCGCTGGGACTTCTCCGCAACCCATTGACTGCTTGGGTGCATGGACTTGCCACCGTGAGGGCTCCCACCGCTGACATGTCAAGACTCACAGTGTTCCTGGTGGCAGATGACTATTTCTCTGTTGGCAGCAGTTTCCATCTATCTTTACTCCTCTTCAAAATCGGATCGAGGTGCAGCACCATATTCACTGATAGCTAAAGCCGCCAGGAAAAATCAGGATACTGCACAGACCAACCTTCAGACTACTGTCAATGGTGATGACTGGTGCTGCATGCCACCAGCACAATCAGTTGGGGCAATGCTGATGTCAATCACGCAACTGACTGGTGATCAACTTCTAGCACGAAATTAATCTTGACTGATGCGCCTTCCAGCCTGTTAAGCCACAGCCAGAGATGTAGAAATCTTGGCGCAGTTTTAGCCTTCTAATTAAGTGAAGATATAGTACCGGACGGATCATAAATGTCTCCAAGTACTTGCGCCCGCACCACCCCCCATCTGCCTTTGCCTTTTGGCTCTCTGTCCCACGCCTAGACTACTCTTTACCTCTAGATGTTACCTGCATTTGTCATCCACCATCATTCACTGCCAGGTGCACACAAAAAAAAAAAAAAAAAAAAAAAACTCTTTCTAGTCCGTGATGTACCACCAAGGGTGGCAAAAAGAATGAATCACAGCAGAAGGGATTCCCCAGTCGTCCCCGACCTGGTACTGACCTTCCGATGCTCAGTTTGTCTGCGCAGATCGGACGGGATGCGGAAGTTATTGAGCTCTATGGCCGTGACTGGAAGACAATCGTCTCGGTTAAGTCAGTACCTCCATCGTCCAAGATCTCACACACACTCTACAGGTTCTTTTTGACTGTTCTGACTGGGTCTCCAGCTGTCGCTGGGCTGTCTCGGTCGCGAAGCACGCTGAACACCCACTCAGTTTGCCGCTTCAGGGCACAATTCACTCTCATCCTCCACACGCACCCAGGCTCATCCTCCGCACATTCCGCAGTGTTTCTCGGCGATGAGTGTGGCTAGGCCGTGATCCAAGCTGCTATGGGGTTTTCCAAGCATACTCTACAACTTTCATCGAGCAAGGAAGTCAATCAGATAGACTTGTGAGGGAAATGTAGCCCGTGTGGCGTCAATCACGCTGGTGAAGGCAATGGGTCCAATCTCGACAACAAGAGCAGCTACGCCCTCAATTCAAAGTCGTGGAAGCTCGTGCATGCCCATTCTATCACATCTTTGTGGTAACGAAACAGTATCATACAAAGTAGACACCTCAAAAAAGGCAGCAAGCGCCGAGTCAGCACCAGAGCGTTGATCCAGTCTTCAGCTCCTCTCCGGAGTCTCGCCTCCTCTCCGCTCTCTCGGCTGTCTTCAAAAACTCCCGCAGCCTCCGCGCTCATCAGGTACCAGGCCCCGGATCTCATCGGCCAAGGTATGTTCTGAACAAGCCACCGCGAAGTAGTGCTTCTCCCGCGGGGACTTCTCCGCAACCCATTGACTGCTTGGGTGCATGGACTTGCCACCGTAGAGGGCTCCCACCGCTGACATGTCAAGACTCACAGTGTTCCTGGTGGCAGATGACTATTTCTCTGTTGGCAGCAGTTTCCATCTATCTTTACTCCTCTTCAAAATCGGATCGAGGTGCAGCACCATATTCACTGATAGCTAAAGCCGCCAGGAAAAATCAGGATACTGCACAGACCAACCTTCAGACTACTGTCAATGGTGATGACTGGTGCTGCATGCCACCAGCACAATCAGTTGGGGCAATGCTGATGTCAATCACGCAACTGACTGGTGATCAACTTCTAGCACGAAATTAATCTTGACTGATGCGCCTTCCAGCCTGTTAAGCCACAGCCAGAGATGTAGAAATCTTGGCGCAGTTTTAGCCTTCTAATTAAGTGAAGATATAGTACCGGGACGTGATCATAAATGTCTCCAAGTACTTGCGCCCCGCACCACCCCCCATCTGCCTTTGCCTTTGGCTCTCTGTCCCACGCCTAGACTACTCTTTACCTCTAGATGTTACCTGCATTTGTCATCCACCATCATTCACTGCCAGGTGCACACAAAAAAAAAAAAAAAAAAAAAAAACTCTTTCTAGTCCGTGATGTACCACCAAGGGTGGCAAAAAGAATGAATCACAGCAGAAGGGATTCCCCAGTCGTCCCCGACCTGGGTACTGACCTTCCGATGCTCAGTTTGTCTGCGCAGATCGGACGGGATGCGGAAGTTATTGAGCTCTATGGCCGTGACTGGAAGACAATCGTCTCGGTTAAGTCAGTACCTCCATCGTCCAAGATCTCACACACTCTACAGGTTCTTTTTGACTGTTCTGACTGGGTCTCCAGCTGTCGCTGGGCTGTCTCGGTCGCGAAGCACGCTGAACACCCACTCAGTTTGCCGCTTCAGGGCACAATTCACTCTCATCCTCCACACGCACCCAGGCTCATCCTCCGCACATTCCGCAGTGTTTCTCGGCGATGAGTGTGGCTAGGGCCGTGATCCAAGCTGCTATGGGGTTTTCCAAGCATACTCTACAACTTTCATCGAGCAAGGAAGTCAATCAGATAGACTTGTGAGGGAAATGTAGCCGTGTGGCGTCAATCACGCTGGTGAAGGCAATGGGTCCAATCTCGACAACAAGAGCAGCTACGCCCTCAATTCAAAGTCGTGGAAGCTCGTGCATGCCCATTCTATCACATCTTTGTGGTAACGAAACAGTATCATACAAAGTAGACACCTCAAAAAAGGCAGCAAGCGCCGAGTCAGCACCAGAGCGCGTTGATCCAGTCTTCAGCTCCTCTCCGGAGTCTCGCCTCCTCTCCGCTCTCTCGGCTGTCTTCAAAAACTCCCGCAGCCTCCGCGCTCATCAGGTACCAGGCCCCGGATCTCATCGGCCAAGGTATGTTCTGAGCAAATTTCGCCCATTTTGGCCCTCTGTGTCGGTACAATGCGGGGCCCAATGGGCTGTTTTCTGCCGAAGAGATCCGTCTGTTTGGTCCTTTATGAGCATATCTTCATGCAACATCGGTGGTGCTGCTGCCCCAGATGTCAAGCTTGCTGTAAGCACCGATTGTGTGGTGTGTTGCCCTGGGGGGTCTACGACTCTTCTACACTACTACGTTGTTGCCGATGAGGTGCAGCGGAAGAAGGGCTGTTCTCGCGTCACACTGTTGACTTGACGTTGATCTGTTCTTTCGTATGGCGGCTGCTATGCCCTGCATGCATTAGTGCTCTTGCCCTAGTATTGTCTCATGAACCCCGGAAAAGTACTCGGCGGTGGCTTGGTATGAAGCATATGAGAGTGAAATGATGTGCCACATCGGCGCGGCTGGCGAAGATGCCGCACGCGTCGTCGTGGTTCACCCGCGTTGAGCTGGTCTTGACCGTCTTGTTGATGTCGCCTTTCACTCTATATCCTACATTCTACACACACGTTCCACATTCTACACACACGTTCCACATTCTACACACACGTTCCACGTTCTACATTCTGCACATTCCTGTCCGCCCAATCGAGAAACAGCACCCCGCTTACGGACTTGTGCGAGCGAGCCATTCCGCACCACATACACGACCGCCCACATCCCACGGCTCTCTCGATCTCTTCGTTCACGGACGACCAAAGCATCACATCGCGCGGGATGATCATCGGCGAGAATCAGGCGAGTGGGTTGTACTCTATGCCCTGGTTGCTGTCTTATCGTGACAGTGTGAGCTTTCCTTTTTATCCCGTTATCCCGAAGTAGCCTGAACTGACCACACCTCAGCCGTCGTCTACTTTCCGCGAACCTTCCCGCCAACCGTGCACACCCCCTCTCTCTTCGACCTCCTCGTGACCGTTCGACCTTCTGGTGACCATGCCTCCACTTCACCCTCGCTCTCAGTCGCGAGTGCCGCTGGCATGCGAAACACGTCGCCAGTGGGCGTGTCTATGGAGGCTAGGGCTGAAGGGAGAGGCGCGGTGTAACGGAATGTGTGGCGTTAGTGGCAGATCAACAACAGCTGCAAGGAGGAGATGTACCTTGCTAAGCTAGATGGGCTACGCTGCTTGGGTCGAGTCTGCCAGGTGAGCGACGTCGTGGGCCGCCCGAGGCAAGGGATCGCTGACGCAGTTTCTCAAGGTCGATCGCTGCCGGTGACAGGCCTTCGTGAAGCTCGCCCCGAACACACCTGCCCGTGGTGCCGATGGAGGGTGTACGATAGCGTTGGTTGCACTGGGCATCGGGGATGCTCCATGGACTGAGTGCTCGTGGTGAGCTCCACGTTGAAACACTTGACCGAAGAGAGGGCTGACGAAGCGGATTTGTGGCCAGAGTCGGCGTGCAGCGGCAGTTCTACGGCCCGGTGGGCCTGAACGAGGTAGTGGACGACAGAACGTGAGCCGAAGCCTGTGTGTCCGATGGCGCAACTGTGGCTGACGATGATACGCAGCTCTGCCTTTTATCCTCCCATCGGCCAACGTGGGCGGCTGGCGGCGGGACGAGTTCATGAAGCAAGAGCTAGCCTTTGCATACGATGGCCGCCGGGCTATCAATGCGGCTGGGGGTGGCTGTGTCCGTAAGGCTCGAGAAAGGGGGCGACGGGTGACTTTTGGTGCGTTGTTGGAGTGCGAGTGGCGCTGGGAAGGCCATCCGGAAAGCTTAACTTACTGGTGCTCCACACCAATGTAGGGTGCCGAAGTGCGAGCTGAGGTTGACGAAAGGCCGGTTTGGTATGCCCGTACAATCAGATGGCTGTTCAAGGAGCCCTGGACACGGTGAGTTCATCTGCGAGGCTCACTCATCAGCCGATGCACCTTTCCATTTATTCAGACCGTGTACTGTACAGTGTACACGCAGCATGCATCACCTATACGGCGGGCTTGAGGAGAAGAGTGGTGGTTTGTCTGTATGTCCGATGGTGCAGCCGTTGCTGACCCGCCTACTTCGCTCAGTCCCCTCGTCTCTACCTTAGCCAGCGTGTGTGACCGTGAATGCACTTCCAGGAGCAAGAGATGGCGGCTGCGTGCGTGACATGACTGGGTATAGGAGCCATCGATGCGGTCCGCAGAAGGCTAGCGGGATGACCCAGCGACACTACTACTCCTAGCAGAGGAATACACGCCCCCAGGGCTACTCAACTACTTCACAGATTACCAGGTAATACATACCCGCAACCGGTAAACATGTCTGCTTAGATGTATTAGATGTATACTGCTGCGTTGTGCCCGGGTCTGCACGTCTGGCTGCGTGCTATGTCGTGTCCGGTGCGTCCACCGTGTCCGATGTGTCCGCTTTGACGCGCTTGTGCTCACAATGGAGCAGGGAGCGCTCGCTGTTGTTGTTGCGATGATGACCATCTGGTCATTGATACATTCAGTCTTTACATCTACGCCATTAGAGCCCGCCAATACAGCCCCCATACTCCTCTCCGCAACACCAATGCCCGACTCGCCACCGCCATCTAGGCCAGACAACGGAGACCCGCCCTCTGCCGAAGCAGGTCCATCATCATGGCGCCGACGCCTCTCGCAACCCCCCCTCCCTATTCCCAGCTTTCTTCCCCACATCCCCAATCTCCGTGCAGCACTACTCGGATACCTCGGGGAGATAGAGGTGGCGCTCAAGAGGAAGCTTGAGGATGTTCCAGGAGGACAACAGGACCGCGCCACGTCGCCCGAGTCGCCAGCCATGTCCGCTGAGGAGTGGACGACGTCGGCTGGGGAGAGCTTTGACGACGAGGCTGGCAATGGCCCCTACACCAGTGCTCTGGCGGGGCCCTCAACCAAGTCATACATCCGGCAGCGAGGTGCTGGAACCGTACATCCTCAGCCACCACTGCCCTCTCCCTCCTCCGACACCTACATTCACCTTCTCAATCACCTGGGCGCCCTCCGCGAAGAGGCCTCCAAGCACCTCCCCTCCCTCTCTGTCCCCTCTGTCCCCTCGGTCGCAATGCCCCTTTCCATTCCAAACCGCGAGTGGCTACGCTCCCTCCCCACCAGGTTGAGCATGGTCGACCCCGCGCTCCCGTCTCCCCACGGGCAGACTGCCTCACGCAGCGAGATCGACAGCGGCGCTATCGAAGGGGCGCGGAGAAAGGTGCTGGACATGGTCCACGCCGCATTGCCTTCGGAGGAATGGGCGGGCTGGGAGAGGCTCGGGTGGGAAGAACAAGATGAGACGGAGTCTGATCCGCGGAAGAGGCGAGCACGGTCAACGTCTTTGCAGAGGGGAGCTGCCGGGGAGGAGGACGATGACGAGCCCGAGTACCTGTTCCCCAATCGAACACCCGCTTCGGCCAAGGCCTTCGCTCGTCGCAGGGCGGTGCGGTCGAAGTCCCTCGGCGCGGCCTCTTTCCCGACAACCAGACGGCCTGTCTACTCGGAGCGCTCTTTCACGGACTCGCTCCAGCGCAAGACGCCTTCGGAGCCTGGAAACGGAGGCAGGGGGGGTGATTGGGAGGAGGCTGATGATGATGAAGAGAATGATGCAGCGTACCTGCCTGCTCATCTCGACCTCTCGGATGTGAAAGTGTCTCTGGCGGGGGCTAATACGGGTGTGAGATTGGAGCCGACGGTGACGGAGGCGTTGCGCCGTTCAGAAGACGGCAAGCGCTTGATCGGCGTCGAGGACCTTCCAGCCATTTGGAGGAACAATGAGCACATCCTCACTGGGTAGTAAGTTGGAAGCCCCTGAGTATTGTCCCGAAGTGCACACAATAGCTGACAGTACTCCGGTCTAGCCGCTTCATCCCGTTACATCTCCAAACTGGCCCCGTTCCTCTCCTCAGGTCTGCGTTCACTCTCCACAACGAGACGGGTGAGTCCTCCGTCATCTCTCCAGTGACGACACCGCGCTGTAGCCAGCCCGAACATACGCTAACATTATACGGCCGATAGTGAACATCCATTCGCATTCAATACCGACTATCTTCATTTTATGCTGCCTCCCGGTGAGCCTCACTCGTTGTGGCTGCCGTTCAGAGTGGCTTCACACTGACACCACTCCCAGTTCATCATTCACCGCTCTCCACTTCCCGACGCGCGTCCTCTAGACACAGCGTTGCTCGTTTCCTACCTCGTCGCGGCAACTTCTTGCATGAGCTCTTCTGCTGGCTGGCACATTCTCAGTGGATGTGCGTCGAAGCGGTGGTTTGAGTGGGGGGCGTGTGTTGATTGTGAGTGTCACTGTCCCAGTGTTTCGCATCAATCATTTCGCTGACAGCCACCATCCTCGATAGATATTGGGATCTCATGTACGTGTTTGGC